GTCACTCACAATAGATCACACGGGTCACAATCAGCAACCCACGGGTCAGCAGCAATAGACCACGTGTTACCAGCAGTGAATTATATAGTCACATACACATTAGTACAGACATGATTTTATTTTAGCAATTAAAAAAAAATATTGATCAAGTAATTACAATTTACTGAACCGAAGTATCCCAGGGCAGATAACACCTACGTTATTTTCTTTGCTAAAGTTATAAAATAATAAGCGCAACTACAGTAGTAACAATGAAGCTAACTACATGACAAACTACCGGGGAGTGTATAATTAACGTATAAATATATTGGGGCCTACACGTTCAATTGTTTTATTGCGAACTTTTTTTTAAAACACTTTTTTTTTTTTAAGAAAAGATTATACATATTTTAAACTAAATAAAAACACGTGGACAAGTATGCTTAATTAAATTTGATGTTGTCGTTACATTGGTAGCAATGTGTTATTAATTGTCGGTATATTTTATAATAAGTATCAACGTTCAGCAAGAATTATGTCATGTACTATCAAATTATATGCATGCATGACGCTAAAGTCAAGTCGAGTATCCAGTCAGTTACACAACATTTTACATACAGCAGATATTTTAGACCTTTATATCTCACGATTGGTCATCTGAATGTCTTAATGTTTGGTCCCGTAGTCGAGTTTTTAGAACGTCCTTAAGTCCACCAAACTCAGATGGGTTAACCTGACTGCGTACATAACATATATATATATATATATATATATATATATATATATATATATATATATATATATATATATATATATATATATATATATATATATATATATATATTATATATCTTCAGTATTGACTTAATCGTCAGTGTTAAAGTCAACCTCAGTAATGATTCCATTAATTGGAAACGCCAACATAGTGACTACTTCGCAATGTAAAGTCTTCTATTCTACTGTCTCTGTCAGGATGAGCATGTCTCAATGTAAAGTCTTCCATTTACTGCCTTTATCATGATTAGCATTTCTAAATGTAAAGTCTTCTATTAAACTGGAGATTGTTAACAATAGATATACAATTTACTAATTGCTTCCCATTCCGGCATTTCATTATCATAAGGAAGATGATTCGCATCAAGTTTATATCACTAGACGTGTAAATTCATTGAAATACATAAATATTAAAGAAACAATAAAGTAGGACATGTATACAGAATAACAGGTTTTTTTTTATTTTTGCTAAATCAATGCAGAGAACTCAAACATTCTAGGAAACTAAGAGGTAAGATAAAGTACGACACCTCAATTATAGTGACAGACAAACTCAAACTGTACGACTTTACGTGGACAAGACTGACGGACACAATTACACAGAAGCTGGACATATATACAAATTGTAGTACAACCATTAGGGCAGCGCTAATTAACATATAGGCCTAACACATTACCAAAACAAAGCTTTACCAACCCACTTTATAAAACAAGCAAGTAAAACATTAGAGATTTAATTTAAAAAAAAAAAACCCACAAAAAACATACAAACCATCACTGGAAACATCAACAATCAAACAGGACGATATTAACCCTGCTCTGGTACCATGGGGTCAATATGACCCCAAGCCCTCTTTGGACCGATTTATTTTAAAAACTACCTTGTTTAGTGACCTCACCGGCCATGTATTTTTGTGTAAGGCCTTCATAAGTACGTTACACATGTTTGATAATTTTAAAGTATTACCAATTATTTATGTTTATTTATTTTCGCTTGGGGTCATATTGACCCCATGGTACCGACAATGTGACAAAGGTATTTCCAACTTATTGACATATTCTACAATGGGCGCAGCATAACAACATGGTCACATGAAAAATATGTTATGATAATGCTTGTCTTAAATGATTTAACAGACATCAATAGTGAAAACGAGGACATTGTAACCAGTGGCGTAGCGAGGTCGGGTGTCACCCGGTGCGGCACTTAATGGTGTCACCCCCCCCAGAGGCATAGAGACCCTTCCCAGGGACAAACTTTCAAATTTTCGATTTGCACCCCCCCCCTCAAACTTTCGATTTGCACCCCCCCCCTCAAGTTTTCGATTTGCACCCCCCTCAAACTTTCGATTTGCACCCCCCCCCCTCAAGTTTTCGATTTGCACCCCCCCCCCTCAAACTTTCGATTTGCACCCCCCCCTCGAGTTTTTCTCTATATATTTTGCTATTTTTTGCCTTGGTGTCACCCCCCTAAATGGTGTCACCCGGTGCGGTCCGCACCCCCCGCCCCCCCCACGCTACGCCATTGTAACTGATGTGAGCTTGGGATGAAAGTGACAATGAACCAAGTAGAGAAGACCCGGGCGGCACTTGTAAAGTTACTGCTAATGAATCATATTTGGAAGATGCATCAGAAGACGAAGGCGCAGCGAAGAGCCAATAGCAACTTGGTGTCTGTTCGCGACATATTCGACAAATTTGTAACTACATGTGAAGTAAGCTACACCCCAGCAACTGGGTGCGCAATGAATGAATCTCTTCTTGTATTCAGAGAAAGATGTAGCTTCACGTTCTATAAACCAAAGAAATATGGCATCAAGATATGCGTATTGGCTGGTAGCAAAACATTCTACCCGGCTTCTTCAAAAAATTATGTGGGAGCTGGTACTCATGCACCTGGGCTGAAAGTTCCAACCCAAACATTTTTAGATTTGGTCCCAACAATTTCTGGAAGAAACCGAACCATTACCACCGATAGCTATTACGCATCAATTGGTTTGGTCAAGGAAATAAAATACAGGAATACAGCTACGATGAAAAGGAAACAAAGCCCGCATTCCGCTGTAGAGAAAAAAAGTTCAATACGTCTTTGATCTTGCAAATGATTACATTATCTTCTCCATTTGTCCAAAGAAGAACACAAGTGTCGTATATCTGTCCACCATGCATTACCAAAAAAAAGATTGATGCAGGTACTGGGAAATAAAAATTAATCAATGTATTTTACAACCAAGAAAAAGGTGGCGTAGACAGCCATGATCAAATGTGCAGCGTTTATACCACGGCAAGAAAAGCAAATCGTTGGCCAATGAGGGTATTTTATGGAAATATTGAAAGTGATGCCTTGAGCGCTTGTGTTATATTTACTCTAAAGATGTCCAACGTTAGGGAACGTAAGAAACACAAACGACACACGTTCTTGAAGAAACTGATCCTTGCTTTGGTTACTCCACATGCATATCTAAGATTGGAAATGAATCAGACGCCAACAGATGTCAAATAGAACATCGTACCTGCGGCATTGTGGATGCACTAACACAAACAGCAAGCACCACACAAATTCATTCAGGACAACGCAAAAGATGTTGTATTTTGTCCCAGATCATGTGACAAGCAAACATAATTAGTCTGTAATGAGTACAATCAGTTTGTCAGCGAAGTGTGCAACCAATGCCAGCAATGACATTTGGGTCTACTTCTGCATGAAATATCCTAAATATAGCCTACAAAACATGAATACATAATTAACCTAGGATGTATTAACACATTGTAATCTCATATTATGCCAAATACACAGATAAATTATAATTATTTGTTATTATTCTGATTATACAGTTTATTTTTTGCCATGGGGTCCAATTGACCCCATGGTACCAAACAAGTGATTTTTTCTAAGGTACCAGAGCAGGGTTAATAAAAATAAACAGTGCAAAACATTTTATTATCAAAGTCATGTTTCTGCATGAACACACATTGTCTACTTGCATGTTACATGTAATAAACTGTAATATAATATTAGTACATACTAATATTATATACTCATTATCACGTATATAGTATACATTAATATTTAACGTTTTTTTCCTTATTGCTCTGCTTTAATATTGGGTAAAGAAAATAAAACATACAAAAAATTATGGTGTTTCATTGCCTTTTTACTTTCTCGTATATACGAAGTACTTTCTCTATACGAAGTATAGAGAAAGTATTGTAATCGTGCACAAAAATCACTTGAAATTTTAACAATATTCACCGTATTACACCTCAGTCCTTCATCACATCCGAAGTATAGAGGACTTATTTTAATCGGGCAAAAATTATCAATCCAGATTTATCAAAATTAAGAGGTTTTATGCGTAATCCAGTCAGAAAAACTGGGCTTTGCAATTCTGTCCGTAAGTCTGTGTGTCTGTCTGTCTGTCTGTCTGTCCGTGTGAAAACACGATAACTTGTGTACCGTTACAGCTAGGTTGATGCAATTTCATATATAAGTATTTTATCAAAATCGTAGATCCGTTTTAACTTTTGAGATATTTCTGATAACCGGGAGTGGTACTTTTTCTACTTTGAAGTATTCAAAAGCCTATAACTTGAGTACTATTTCAGATAGATAAATAAAATTTCACATGTACGTAAAAGATCTAATTCTCTACCTTCTGTTAAATTTTGAGTAATTTCCGTATACCGGAAGTAGTAATTTACGCTACTTCCGATTTCTCAAAAAACGCAGATACATTTATAAAGAACTAATAATATTGCGCACTATTATGCGCTTTTTGCTTTGGCATTCACTTGGTGCGCAATGTTTTTTTCTACTAGATTTTATTCTATTTTAAAAGTTTAAGTAAACAAAAATCATGTCTATATTCCGAGTTGCCATCCCACGTAGTGTTATATTAGAATATTCGAGAAAGTTTAGGGGAGATCACTCCCGGTTTATTAATAACACTATTCACATTAGAATCTATAAACTTTAATTTTATGCTAAGCGTTTTTAGAGACATCTGCTGTTTTGATTTTTTCTCTTGAATATTTTATGTTTAATACAATTCAAACCAACGTTTATCATAATAATATTGCGCCAATTAAAAAGCAATATTCGCAAACATAAGTAATTTGGTAAATGTAGCATTCCGTCACATTGAAGTAAAGGATCCAACTAACTTGTCGTTCAACTGAATTCTATAATCCAGAAATAAGAATTAACAAAGTTTATGCTTACTAACAAAAAGAAATCTGGACTGGTACTAGCTTATGAAACATGTCTTTGAGCCAGCTTTTCACAAGCTGGAAACTGCCCTCCGCAGCCTTGACATTGTTTAAAGCATTACCTGCATTAAATAATCAGCCTGTCAGGTTTGCAGCTAAAAAGGCGGGAGGCACAGTGCGAAACCCAATTGGTAAAACAAAAAGAAAACACAGAGGCATTAAAGCTCATGATGGACAGTTTGTTCACAAGGGCTCTGTGATTGCTACACAGTACGGCATCAGGTTCTATCCAGGAGAGAATGTTACAATGGATAATGACTGGACCCTGCGAGCAGCTTACGATGGTATTGTTGTACATACAAGTGAGGTACTGAATCCTTACCCTGACAGCCCTCTTTATGATCCAGTACAGAAAGGGGCAGTAATTCACAAACAATTCTTCCACATTATACCTACTCCTCTGCATGGAAAATTTTAACTCGTATCAGAAACATAATTGTTCTTGTGTAATATAAAAAATTAAAACAAGATCCTCCTTGAAAAAAAAAAAAAACAAAGTTTATGCTAACTGAAAGACAGTGTGTTGTTGCTTACCTTCCTATATGATAGGGAGAGCCGTGTGTCAACAGAATGGGGAAGTGATGAACGAACTCAATAGCGACTCTTACATTTCACGTGCTACCTCTTGTAACATTTGATTCAGATAAGTTAGCCGAGGTTTATTGTTGATATGAAACAAAATATCATCATCAATGTATATTTTCCAAAAAACTAGCTAGTTAACCACATGCGTGTTTCAAATGTAGCAGAACTGACAACTAGGCTAACCAAACATTATGCCATATAATATGTAGGACGTCATTATGTCAACACAGCTCAGATGGGTACCTGACTAACGTTTGGAAAAACTGCGGCCACAGCTAAGACCTCCGTACATAACCCGTGTGATATAGTGCACTTTGATCTTAGCCAAAAGGCAGAAAAGTTAAATGGTACAATCAATCTCTCGACTAATCAGACCAATGTGGGGAATGCTTTAAATGGCAGTTTCAATAACGTGATAGAGGATTGTATCAACACACGGTCTTCCATATTGACCTCAAACACAACTTTATATTGAGCTATATCTGACCCGCTCCCAAAGTAGCAGGTGCAAATTTTATAAGGTCAGATATTTTATATTTTAGTTCATTTTAAATGTGTATAATATATTAGGTTTGCTACGGTGTACATATTGTTATTTTTGTTAACATATGCAGAAAAGCACTTACTTTAATTCATGCTCCGAAAGTTTTCAAGGGAAGTAATTACCTGTGTAATTGACATATCAAATACACTGAATGCGTTCGAAATAATTCAAACAAAATAGGCATAATGTTTTATTTGTCAAGACGTGCTCGCTTTAAAATACTATTTTTCGTTTAGAAAACGATAAATATTGAATATTTGTCTTTGTTTTCAATTTAAACAGTGTATGCAATTGAATAATAAACACAGTCGCGATATGTGTTACAAATATAGAAGACATGTGATGAAGTCTAATTGATCACTATTGTCTTGCTAGTGAGCGTTTTTTATATGAATTTCCTGATTCAATGAAGCATATATATAAATAAAAAAAAAAAAAAAAAAAAAAAAAAAAAAAAAAAAAAAAAAAAAAAAAATGAATTATATAAAAAACTTCACAACCGGCAGAACGCTATTCGTGCAGCCACTATTGAAATAACCTTTCTGTTTGAAGAGTGTCATTAAAACCTTAACACATCTTTTATAACATTTCTTCGGAAATCCCAGACTGAACCTAATTTAACCCACTTTTATAGACCTACTTATGTTTTAAACACCGACTATGCAGTTATAGATTGCCAAAAATAGAACCATTTACACACAAGTTAATTCATGTTGACCAACAATGCAATAACACAGGGAGGAACATACACATTCGCAATCCCCTAATCAGAGACATATTTCAGTATACACAGGATAAAAACACCCCATCATCCATACTTAGTTTAGACCAGGAGAAAACTTTCCACCGATTAGTGCACACATATCTTCACACAATTCTCAAAGAAAACAATTTGGATAAAAATCAGTTTTTACAACACACACAGCCACCTGCTGATAGATCATACAATTAATGAGACAACGCCCCCCCCCCCCGACCTGACATCCCTTTACATACTAGCATTAGAACTCATCTTAGAAAGCATTAGGTACAATACATAAATCTGAGCAATGGACATACCAAACTTATCGAACACAACAATTTTAGCCTACGCAGACGATACAGCTTTTACTCTCCAAACAAAAACAATCCATATCCTTAATATTCTCCTGTCATTACAATGTCAGTGGCTTCACACGTTATGTCTGTGTCTTGTAGATCTAGTTAGATTATGTACATTTGGTTTTAGCCTCGCAAAATACCAATTCATGTTATCATTTTTTTAAATATTTTAATCCTTGGGGGTAGGCGCCGGTAATTTTTTTTTAATATTCGTTTACAGCTTTTTAAAGGTACATCAGCGCATGCAATTCCACTAAAAAAATAGAAGAACAAATCTTAATAATTAAGACAACGGCGGTCATCTTGAAAAATTAACCCCTTCCTAGTAAATAAAACCTGTAAAGTGCAAAACACAATTTCATAAAAACGTTTTAATAACAAGCTTTAATGTAATATTGTACTAAAAAGGAGAACATAAATAATAGACTTATTTAAATAACTATAAAGATAAGCGGGGTTCTCTTCATAAATATTAGTAAAGGTATCCAATAGATACTGAAGTGACCCACGCTTTTCTTTATAGTTATCTACATAGTAGTTATAATTTATTTTCTCCTTTTTAGTGCATTATTACTGAAACGCTTGTAATTAAAATGCTTTTTATGACTTTTTTATTTTAACACTAGATTTACATGACTAAAAACCATTGCGCACCTATTGAACGTGTCTAATAGCGCGGAATAGTTTGATGAGACAGCCTACTTATTTGGACACAATTTTAATTAATTCATAAAAATTAATCAGGCAACATATTAAGTCAAATGTAATGTCATGTTGCATTGTCTTCATGTCTCGACCCACTTATTAACTACGAACCATATATGTCAGTTAGAAATGCCCGTTATTTCGCTTGGGCGTTTCGATCTAGACTGAGGACAGATTGACGACAGAGAAAGTGAGTTAAAAAAAAAGCTTGTAAAAAAAAAAGAATAACACTTTTCATTTGTAATGCAAAAATAAAATTACGAAAATAAATCAGTTAAAAATGCATGCCAAACTTTAACCGCTTGTTCAGAACATATCAACAAGCTGTCAAAGGAATACAACAGCGGAAATATCTAGTTAATCAAGAACGTTGTATTTTCCTCCCCTATTGATAAAAAAAAACATTACATCTGACCACCCATTGAACATACTCGATCGATCATAACATCTAATGTGTTTATTTGTTTCAACTGTATGCATATGGTGATACAACCAGTGATGACGCACGTTTAAGTTATAGAAGTCAAGTAGACGTTAACAGAAACAGAGCATAACGTAGTTAGGTAGACCAACATAATTAACAGGAGATGACCGGTCAAGTGATACGGTCAGATGACCACTGAAGCGTGGGTCAGTAGTTAGGTCAGCAGTTAGAGAGAGGTAGCGCTAGGGGGTAAATGTAGAGAGCTAGAAGCAGATAGTGTTAGGGATGGTCATAGAAGTGTGTAGGGAGAAATGTAGTGTTAGTTGTAGTTAGATAGTGTTAGTAGACAGTCAGGTGTTAGGACGTAGTTAGGGTAGGAGTTAATGTCATGTGTAAATAAGGAACTGTATTTTATTGATACAGAACTTTTTTTTTGTGTTGATTCCACACTGTACAAGGCGTACATAAGAATAGGCGATCACCGTAATGAGTATATATATATATATATATATATATATATATATATATATATATATATATATATATATATATATATACCAGGGGTCGGCACCCTGCGGCTCGCGAGCCGCATGGGGCTCATTGTAGTATCTGCTTTAAATGACAGTTCTAATAACTGAATTAAGGATTGTATCAACATAATGTTTGCTATATTGAACTCACACGAAGCTTTATATTAAGCTAGATGTGACACCTTTTATTGAAGCTTATTTTTAATATGTTAGTATTTTTTTCTTGCTTGAAAGTATTGCAAGTGAAATAATTACCTATTTTATAACCATAATATATTTGGAATGAATTGGAAACAAATACAAACAACACAGGCATATACATTTCTGCATCAAAAGTAATTAATGTGTATCACTTATGATACAATTATGTAGATGTACGTTTGTTAAATGTTTGAAATATGTATGTAATTGCAAACGTACATACAGTAGCTTTATGTTTTACTAATTTAAAAAACAACCGAAGAAATCGAATAATCGATGGTGCATTTTTCACTTTATCGCTTAGTATATTTACGAAAACAAAAATAGATTTTATGATAAAAACGTCGTTGATCTCACACTACGTCTTTCCCATTACCAACCACTCTTTACTTTAAATTTTTATTTTTTTTATTTTGGAAATATGTATTATTAGGCTAGACTATAAAATATATAGCCTGTAATGTGTTAAAATAGATACATATACATTTTGCGCATAATGTATGTTAATAAATGTACCATACTAACTAAAATCAAATGCATGTATTTATTTACAAATCAGGTTAAGGGAGGGTTGAAATAGGAGGCTTTGGTAACAGGAGAAAAAGTAACGACTCATTGTTGCATTAAAAATTAGAAAAAAATAGTTGTAACCATCATGTTGCTTTGTTAAGAAAGTCAAGCTAAGATTTCAATTAGAAAAAACAAGAATATAAATACTGCTATTAAATGTTTGATGTGATTTTGTGGCAGTAGTTTGGTAAAATGAAGTGTGATATTATTTTGCGTGTGTAAAAAAACTAACACATTCATTGTATTTAAATATTACTTTAAAATTGTTAAAATGTATGAGATAAACTCAGGTATTTTGTCTCCATAACTTGTTTCAAATAGTTTATTTCGCTTAACTTGTAGTGCAGTGTTTTGTTGTCTCCCTTCTTATATTTAACAAAAAATAAATGTCAATTTTAATTTGGTTACTAAAAAAGAAAGATTAGGAAACATGAGCCAAACACTTGTTTACACTAAATATTATTTACGGCCAGTTTATAAAGGCAACATTTTATATGGTGATAAAACTATTTGCTTAAGAAAACCGCTTTACATCACCAACATAAACGGCGGTGAAGAATTGATGTTCTCTTTTTTTCAGTAATTCAAATTAATTTCAGATGGCATACGCATACTTCTGCCCCAATTTTTAGTGACCTTGATGTTCACCCTGCTACATTGGCACTATATAATAGGTCAACTTGTTTAAGACATATATGAAATCAGAAAAACATGTTTTCGAGATCTCAACTGGGATTAAATATTGTGAAGTGCGTCGATTAATTCGTAATGTGATTAATATGGTGGTTACCACACTGATGATTACTAATATGTAAAAATT